TATGAAATACACAAAAATTAAATATGAAATTTGCAAAAAGATAAAGAGCTGCCCAAAAGGTCATGTACGCGGTTCTGAGGGAGCAACTGGCCAGCTGCAGTGGTCAGCTGGGTCAGGCCCTGTGTTTGTTGGTAGTCACAGAACCACAATGCCTGTTACACACACATCATCTCCTCTGCTTCTTTCTGCTCTTTCTTCATCTCCTGCCACCTATTGCATACCAGCTGTAACATGGGAAAGTTCTATCTCTACCCAAGTATACAGAATAAGAGAGGAATCCACCAGTGAATTTTGTTCCTTCCTCCTCACTATAATAATTTCAAATGCTTCCCTGCATTTACTGGATTGTGAAGGAATTCTGGTGTGAAAAAAATAGAGTTGAGTAAATATTAAATGTCTGTCATCTTTTTATCCTCATAGATTGATTATTCTAGACTGAATTTGTTGCATTTTAGCAACCTAACTCATCTTGTGACTTTTCTTTTTCTTTCTTTTCCTGCCCATGTATATGTGTTTGTGGTGTGTGTGTGTGTGTGTGTGTGTGTGTATACTGTCCCTGTCAAACCTAGAAGTTGATTTCAGGTGTCTTCCTCGATCATACTCTGCACTATATTCTGTGGAAGGTCTTCTTACTGAACTGGAGCTCCCAGAGTCATCTGACCTATTTAGCCAACTCTGCCTCCTGAGTGTTAGGATAACAGAAAGCCTGCCACACCCACTCAGCATTTACTTGGGTACTGGCAATTTGAGCTTGGGTCTTCAGGCTTATGTGGCAAGCACTTTACCATCCAAGCCATTTCCCCATCCCTAACTTTCCTTAATTTTCTGTAATGGTCTGAATTGTACTGGGCTTGCACAGAGCATTTGGAATGCAAAATTAATAAGCACTTATTTCTAAAAATCTCTTAGAGGGTGGAAATTAAAAGATTCACTTAGCTACTGTTTCATAAATTGTATTTGTAAAGGCTTACTTTAGGACCTGGAGAGATGGTTCATCAGTTACAAGCACTTGGTCTCCTACCCACCTGGTGGCTAACACCTGTCTGTAGCTTCAATTCCAGGGGATCCAACACCTTCTTTTCACTTGTGCAAGTATTGCATGAACATGGTATACTTACATGTAATCAAAACACCATACCACATAAAATAAAAATAGATAATTTTTTTTTTTGTCCTGTAGCCCCAGCTGTACTGGAACTCACTATGTAGACCAAGCTGGCCTTGAACTCACAGAGATCTGCCTGCCTCTGCCTCCCAAGTGCTGGGACAACAGGCATGTGCCACCACAATAGATAATATTTTAAAGGCATATTCAAATTAAATGGACTCAAAAGCTATCTTCTTTGGGCATTGTCGAATTTTATTTATTTTTCCTTTCTGAGAAATTTTGTAACTTTTAATTTATAGACATTGAAATCAAATCCACTGTCTTTTTGGAAAATAGTGTATTTATTATTTTTTGTAAGTCCACCCTTGTTGTGCAATGCCTGTGGAGGTCAAAAGAGGGTGGCAGACTCTGGAACTGGAGTTCCAGATGGTTCTTAACCATCATGTGGGTGGTAGCAATCAAACCCAGTTTCTCTGCAAGAACAGCCAGTGCTCTTAACAGCTGAACTGTCTCTACAACCCCAAATCCACTTTCTTAAAAAGAGTGTGTGTGTGTGTGTGTGTGTGTGTGTGTGTGTGTGTGTGTTAGCCTTCTCCAGGACCTATTGTACAATTAGTGCAAAGGAAAAGATGCTTATAAAATATGGTTAGGCATTTCGTGTGAACTGTGACCAATATACAAATTGTCCACCAAGCACACACTATTGCATATAAAGGAATGAGCTTTTAAGCCAATTGACCTATCTCTGTAGTGAGAAAGGCAGTCTATGCTTTTGTTTGTTTGTTTGTTGTTTTTAGCTTAAAGCATTTCACCACCAACATAATTTAAATTATGATGTATCTTCCCAGTTGGACACCTTGCACCATAGAGACCAAACATTCTAGTTCTTGGGTTATTTTTTTACTATAAATCTGAGCTTTTAAAATTTTTTCCAATTTCAACCCATTCTTGCCCAAATTTTTCACGTGGCCTAAGGTATACAGGTTATAAAATAGGTATGCAAATATTTTATGGATAATAATAAAGAGATTTACTTTAAAGCATTTTTGGTATAGAAATAATTTTACCATTTATTAAAGATTAAAGGAAATTTGTATGCTGAGGAAATGGATATGCTTGTTTATTTTTACATAAAAGATCAAATATTGCCTGAATATTTAAGATTGCAGGAATAACCCATCTTTGATGTTTTCCTAAGTTGATCAATGTTTTGATTCTGTAATCATCAATGTCGAGAATACTGCTTCACATAAATATGTAGTACAGAATTGAAGAAACATGTTTAGGGCCATTTCGTATACGGTTAGAAATTCTAATCCCAAGCCAAAATTCATTACATGATTTTTAATAAAAGTCAAGGCAATTTTTAAAGTCCAACATTCTAACACAATGCAATCCAAAGAGATGCTAATTTCATTCTTACATACAGAGAAAGGATAGTAGGAAAATTCCAAGTCTATTTTCTGTAATTAAATTTTGATGTTTCCATAAGATCAGAAAGCTTGCTGACCTTTTTATGGACAGTAAAGAAAAAAATACACTGCAATTCATAATATATAGCAGCTGAGGATCTAAGCCCAAATCTTTCAAACAAGATTAGGGGCTGCATGGTGTGCCCACATGTGCCACGCAGAGTGCTCAAGCCATGTGTTCAGAGCCAAGGTTAAGGTGAAGCTGTGCGATGCAACGTGAGCAAGTGCTGCCAGAAACATTTCAAGTTCATTATATGTTGATTTTGAATCAGTTTTTTATCCATGTGAGCCTTTAGAAATTTTTAATGTTGCCCAATTTTTTATAAACCCCTTTATTCAGTTATGCAACCCCATATATGACCACAACTCATCCTTTAAGGAGCTGTGCAATAATTAATGATGTATTGTCATCTGCTGTAGGAATTTGAGTGATAATGAGTTAGCTTAACTGCTGATTGCCTACAAACACTCACAGTAACTGTAGACTCAGGCCTGATCTGGGTCCTCAGATGCAGTGCCTCTCTCACTCCCACTAGCTTTTCCTTAGCCATTCCTCTGAAATTCCCATCTCCTTGCTGGTGTGCAAATGTTTTCTCACAAGAATAATGTTAGTAGGGGTGATCACTTCCTAGTGTACCCCTAAAGATATATTATTCCTTCCCAGGAATGAGCTCTTGGATAAACTCTATATTTAAGTAAAGAAGAGAAAATCTAAGCATTCAACACACCAAGAGCTTGCTTTATGCTATGGATACATAAAGTCAAACTTGCTCTGTCAAGTTAATTAAGAATGAAAAGTAATGACAGAATATCAGACTGTGAATATAGTTCAGTGACGTAGCCTTTGCCTGGTATGTGCAACGCCCTCGGTTCAAACCCCAGTTCCACAGAAAAGAAGAAAATATCATTATATCATATGTGGATAAAAACTATGAAAACAATCAAATGGGAAATGGCTGCAGAACATAATTAGAGAAAGGACTAGGAATACTGTGAACAAAGTAAATAGAAAATAACTTTTGGAATGGAGATATTGAAGTCCCACCTGCTGAATGACTTGAGATTGCACGCAAGGAAGAGGATAAATGGTCCACATGGCCAGAGGCCGGGGAGCATGGCAGAGGGTGGTGTGAAGTAACCAGGAAATAAATCATTTTGGTATTATCATAATCCCTTGGACACTAAAAGGATAAGTTTGGGTTTGTTTCAGTTTCAACTCCATTGTAAAGTTGAACTGCCAAGTTTTCATTTTTAAAATCACAACTCTATTCCATGAATTACAGTCTGCTAATGTGGAAAGTTTGGGTAAGATGCTATGGCCATGGACTGGTGGTCAAGTGGAGATTGAGTAAAGAGGCCTAAATGGGTTATAATTGACTTGATCAGAGGTGACAAGACTGGCTTGGAGATAAGATGTGACTAAGATGGGCCAGGGCAGGTCAGTCAATATTGGTGCTAATAACCAGGGGACTTATGGTTCTATTTAACTATAAATAATAAGCTTTGAAAAAACAGATTTCAGAGCTGCAGAGGAAGCTAGGCTAATAAGAATTACATTTTGTCTAGTTTAAGGTTTAATAGGTTCTCGGGCATCCAGGGTTAGAAGTCATTAGACCAGACCAGTAAGGGTAAGAGTCTCATTAGGAGAGACACTAAGGCAACCAGTCCTAATGAGAATATCAGCTACTTAGCAACAGTTTTCATCTGTGGGATTAATTGAAATCATCTAGGAAAATGGTATATATTGGGAAGACAAGAGAACTCAAAACTAAGATGTAAGTTGTTTAAAACTTTGAGGAAGGAAGCCAGAGAGGAGGAGGAAACAGCACCCAGTGAGGAAGAAAGTGGACTGATACTGAAAGTCAGGGACCACGGTGCCCCAAGAATAGTCAGCCAATCAAATGCAGGTGCCAAGCAGGTAAGGTTAGCAGGAGAAACGACTATCAGTCACAAGGGGAAGTTTTGGAAACCTTGCAAAGTTGGTCTTTAGAATAGTTAGCGGTGATGAAAGGAATGTGATGTGATGTCCTACTTTTTCCACTTAAATTTCATCACGCATCCAATATTGAAAAGTTAAGTGAAAAAGTCTGTTATTGAGACTATAAATTTCAGTATAGAAATGCTAACTATTAAATGAATGTAAAAAACGTGCTGCATTACATAAAAGGCAAATTGAAGACATATCTTGACATTATCTGGCTTAAAATGTTTTCCTATCAAAGAAGTTACATAATGTTAGAATCCTTTTCTATAAGGTTGAAAGGTATTTTTGTAGGTATATATTCATGATTCATGACTTCTCACTTTTTACAGTTTGAAACCTTACGTATTGTAGTCATGAAGAACAAATGGAAATACATCTAGAAAATCACTGTAACAGGTGCTGCTCCATGAATTGAAATAATTTTTTTCTGACACAGGTATGGTGATATGGTACCAAAAACCATAGCAGGGAAGATTTTTGGTTCCATCTGTTCCTTGAGCGGAGTCTTGGTCATTGCTCTACCTGTTCCAGTGATTGTGTCCAACTTCAGTCGGATCTACCACCAAAACCAACGAGCGGACAAACGGAGGGCACAGAAGGTAGGTGCTGAGCTCTGAAAACAAGAAGGAACATGGACTGCTTTCTCCTACAATCTTCAAAATTCTCTGGCCCTTCAATGCCAGGTTATTCTGTTCCAAAACAAAAAGCAAAAACAAGAAATTAGCTCAGTGGTTTAAAACAAAGAACTGTTTTGACAATGGTTAGAACTGCTGTAGATCCTGGCACACCTTATGCTACAGATTCACTGTCAACGGAGTATGAAATCTCATTAAGTAACCCTTGGGTAAGTTCCAGTGAGTTAATATGGCCACAGAGCATACTCCCTTGAGAATTCATTTTGTGTTCATGTCAGAGAGACTTTTCCTCTAGGGAAGCATTGTTCTTTCAGTCTTAGAGCTGTTTGCTTTTTCAAATTCCTACTCTCCCCCATTTTTGAACAAATATCCAGTTTTTAATTACCAGTGATAGTGATCATAAACCTTCCAGATAACATCTATTTGGAGAACTAATAAGCCAATAAGCATGATAATGTTAAAAGACTAAGAAACAGAATAAAGAAAAGTGCTCACTGGGCAGCTCCAGCAATACACAGGCACACCCTGAGCAAGAAGAGCTAGAAGGACTTGTTTCCGCTCCTTTCACCAGGCACCTGTATTCACTTGGGTGTCTGTGGCCACCCAGTTAAAACCCTGTACTGGGCACTCATACACACTGTCTAAAATAAGTTATTTTCCAAAAAGTAAAACTTTGCTGTTCTAGAAATCATTCCTTTCACATAAGCACTACTTATATAAAAACTACACACAGCACAAATCTGATTTTCAAAAGAAAGTCCCAATATGTCTTTATTTTTGCAAAGCTTGTCATGTGCAACAATAAAGAGGAACATTTTCAAAGCCTTTTTGCCTAGATAAATTTAAAAACAACAACAAAATTTTGATGTTGTAAATAAAGTTCATGTTCTAGTTTGCTTTCTGATGCAGTGATAAAACACTGACCAAAAGCAACTTAGGGAGGAAAGGGTTTAGTTCATCTCACACTTCTAGGGAACAGTTCATCACTGAGAGATGCCAAGGCTGAACCCTGGAAGCAGGAGCTAACAGAGTCCACAGAGGAACGCTGCCTGCTGGCTTGCTCCTCAGGCCTCCTTCACAGCACAGGTCCTCCCATCTAGGAATGGCACCGCCCACAGTGGGCTGGGCCCTCCTATGTCAATTAGCCATCCAGGAAGTGATCCACAGACACAGGTCAATCCAATGGAGGAAATTCTTCAGCTGAAAGCCCCCCTCCCAAGTGACTCTAGTTTTCATCAGGATAAAACAAACAAAAAACACAATAAACAAAAACACAGTGCAGTACTCTCCTTGAAAAGTATGGTTTATGAATGCTTCTTGGTATTTTCAAACTATTGTCTACATCTTAAACTTACAGAACGCATGTGGCTACTAGACAAATTGACTTAATAAAGCCAAATATAATAACCAAATATAGTATGTCCATTAAATAGCCCATGACCAATAAACTGAGCATAATGTTCTAACAAGAACATGTATATGAAATAAAATAAATTACCAAGAGATGTTTCCTATTTTGTTTCCTATGATATTGAAAAAAGAAGAGAGAGTACACTTCCATTAGGCTAAGAAAATTTACATTAATCTGGGTATAGGACCAGAGTAATTCGACTAATATCCAAGGTACACAAAAATAACCAAGTAATTCAGTGAAGCAAGCAGTGTATTCAGTAAAAATTCAATAAAAGCAACTTTCAAATGAAACAATTAAAATAATATTATGAAATTGTTTTTTTAGATCAGATTGTCTGTGTTTAGCCCCACGGTCAACTCCAAACTGAAGCAAGCAGGAAACATACAGGGCATGCACGCAAGGAAGCGCCCTTTATAAACACTGTCAGAGGAAACTTCAAGGCTCTGGCCTTATTAAGTCCTCCTTCTGCTTTTTCTCCCTACCCCCATCTTTAGAGCTAATGCATCATTTTACCCACTTGCCTCGGTCCCTGATAGCCTTTACTTCAACCTGACAGGGGAGTGAAGACAGACATCAAATGTGATGCTCATTCACTCCCACTATTGGTAATTGTATCTTACTAGATTTATTTTCCACTCAGTCATCTGAAAAACAGTCAGGAATAGAGTTTATTTTCCAGAAATAAATCTGATTTGATACACCAGAAGGAGAGGTTGATATTTTTGAAGTCAGAAACTATCCTGCTTTAAAATATGAATGAGACCACATAGTCATCTGCATATTCAAAGCTAACTGCATTTATCATGCAACAATGGTAACTATAAGTTAATAATGCTAAAACAACTGTCTATTTAGGGTTTCTAGGTTGTCCCAGTAGCTTTTAATGTACCATTATAATCACAGTCACTATAATCACATAAGGTGATGTCATTATATCATTTTTAGAGAGAACTTGCACATGAGCAAGCGCACAGCTATCAATTAAAATCCAAGACCAGAAAACTTTAGCACTATTCGATCTATGAGCCTCCTAGTATTTTCATACATATCGGCACGACTTTGCCTCTCTGATGCCTTCTTGCATCTTTGCATGCTTACCTTTCCTAGCTGTGAGTTCTCTGGCTGACTGTTCATTTCACTCGTAGTTCCACTAACGCAAACCCTGCACTGCTTCTGCCAAAGCTGCCCTTTCCAGGATTACCCAGCCGGGGATAGGACTGTCTACAACAGTGCCTTCCACTGTCATCTTGTTGCTCTGTGGCTCTGGCTTGTTTAATTTCTAGGGCAGCTCCTTTCCTTAGTGGAAACCAATAAACTCCTTCAAAGCTGACAAAGCTTCATATACTAAATCCACATGGAACATTTCAACCTTAAATGAAAGAAACAAACTGTGAGTGAAATGCCTGGAACTCATGGTTTTGGCAGGGAGTGTGTGGGTCAAAATGTGAGGAGTAAGGGATTGTCTCAGATTAGTAAGAAGAGAGATGTTCTTCTAATCACTCTTAGGTTGCCTAGGATACCTTTATTTTTCTAAGTATTAAAAACATTTTGTGATTTGATAATGAGATGGTTCAAAACATTTACTAAAACCTCATCCTGCTCTGCAATTCTCCTTGCCAAAAAGCTGTTATTTTGCACAAGGTGGTGGATGTCGGGGGTTGGAAAGAGTGTTCCCTTTTAACCTCTCACTGCACAACCAGTATTGCTAAGACTGTCAAGCTGAGTAGATCATCAGTAAAGTGATGTTAAAATAATTCCCTTCACTTACACGCTAGAGCCAAGGACATAATCACGAGTCGTAAAGGCTAACATTCCACAGGTATTTGATGTGGCACTTCAGCAGACAAATGAAATCAATTAACTCACAGTATCAAGGCAAAGAAAAAGAAAAGTGGTTGAAATCAAGGCAGGTGAATGTTTTGCTGACACAGTGCATGAGTTAACAAAAATGGCTATTCTGTCTTGAAAACAACTTTTTCCATGCGTTTAGGACTATACATGGAGTAGTGATTGTTACCACATATGGGTTTCCCATTATATGATGAAAGCTATGCCATTCTCCTGTGCTCTTTTGGTTGATGTATGTGTCTCAAAAAATCAATTAATATTCCTCAATATTGTTGCTGAAAGCTTGGAGAGTGACATAGGTAGAGAGGTGACTACGATAGGAACAATACAGTGTGCATTGCAGTTGCAAAAAGAAGAAAAGAGAAGGAAGTGAGGGGGTGGGAAGCGAAAGGGGAGGAAGTAAGCAAGGAGAGGGAGAGGGGAAGGGGCGAGGAAGCCCTGGAATGGAAGGGAAGCAGATGACTGTCCTAGGAGATGAAAGGACTGAATTTTCAGCAATAAGCCCTTTCTGGAAATCGATACGCAAATTGCTCATTTGTAAATGATTATGACAGTTACGGTCATCTCCAGACACACTTATTTCTGCCATTGTTTTGTTGAATCTGGCCTGGAATCCTGACCTTGTCACACGGCATTTGAAGATGAACGTTTTCTTCCTTCCAACTTCATTCTCCAGTATTGGCTAAATATTTTGAGCAATCTAGGCCTTATACTGACAACAAAAGGGGAATTGGTCAATTTTCCCATCACCTCCAAAAATGATCTTGATACAATACATTATATTAAACTGAAATCAGCCCACAGAAAGCATAAATTCAGGTGTGAAAGGAGAAAGAGTAGATAGTCAAAGCCCTGATGAACTGTTAAAGCTGTTCTGAGGGTTTCAACACCTCTGTGCTGCTCTCAGAGAAGCAGATGAAAGAGCATCTCAGTGCAACAGTTTGGAAAGGAAATTTGGTAAAACCTATCAACAAACACACACACACACACACACACACACACACACACACACACACCACCCTTTGACACAAAAACAACTCTGTTAGAAATTCATCACGCAGAGGTTCAAAATAGACAACCTTGCTTGGATGACTAAGGATGCTTTACATTTTTAATTGGAGCTAGACATGGTTGTGTACACTTATAATCCTAGCACATGAAAGGCAGAAGCAGGAGGATAAGGAATCAAAGGCCAGCCTCAGCTATATAGTAAATTCAGGGCCAACCTCGGCTACATAAGATTCTGTCTCAAAGCAACAACAACTAAAATTTAAACGGGCTGGATTTGGGACTACATACCTATAATCATAGTTTCTCAGAAACTGAAAACAAGATCACAAGTCCAAGACCGGCCTGGGCAACTAAGAAAAACCCTTTCTCAAAAAACCTTAATTAAAACATCAGAGCTCAAAAGATAGCTCAGCAGTTGCTGCTCTTCCAGAGAATGGGAGCTTTTCCCTGCACTCTTGTTGGACACAAACAGACATACATAAATAAAAATAAAATAAATCTTTAACAACTAGAAAAGAAGGGGCTACAGAGATGGCTCAACGGTGAAAAGGTCTGACTGCTTTGGCGGAGGTTCTAGGTTTCATTCCCAGTATCCACATGGCAGTTGACAAGTGTCTGTAACTCCAGTTCCAAAGGATCAGACGCCCTCTTCTGGCCTCTGAGGGCATTACACATATGTGGTGCACTTACAAACAGGCAAAATGCTCATAGAGTAAAAACAAATAAATCAAAAAACTTAAAAACAGAAAAGACTCGTGAAGTAAATCAGTGGTAGAACATTTATCTGGCTTGCATGAAACCCAGGATTTAATCTTCAATACTGAAAAGCCAAATTAATCAGTAGTTGGCCGGCTAAACAAAGCATACTGCATTTATATAATGGCATATTACACAACCATATAAAATACTTGAATCTATGCATCTACACATGGATGAAATACCCAGATGTGGTAAATTAAATAAACTAGGTAGTGAGGTGTGTTCTTCTAGATATATTAAAATACATGTAAATACTTAGCTTCTGGCAGGAAATATTACCAACCATTGACTGCAAAGCATAGGCAGGGGTTAGCCCAGGGTCAGAGTACTTGCTTTGCATGCATTTTGAGGTATTAGTAATTTTGTAATAATCACACATCTACTTTCTATTTTAATTTTTTTACTAAAAAAAGAGCATTCCAGAACGTGAGACTAAAGATAGTGTGCATGTGTGTTGTTTATAAAGGGATAAGTAGTCTTTTTAGTGCCCAAGTCATCCCAGTTGCTTTGTTACATAAACTTGCTAATGAGTCATCCAAATAGAGTGGTCACCAGAGTATACTCTCCGGGGAGGGAAAGACGTTCCTTCCATGATATTCAGAAGGCAGCCAGGAGACAGAAGTTACAAGGACTAGAATGCCAGAAGTCTCACTGAACACTCAGTTTGCTTGGTATCAACCTCCCTGTAACCAATGACCACATGAGTGACCCCCTGAAAGTCCCTAAGAGAAGAGCAGTCTCTGTGTGGAAATGCTTTGAAAAGTAAAATAATCTTCTAAATCTGTCTGAATAGGTCACTGTGGTCTTCCTTTCAAAATTCAAGTGAAATCTATATCAGATGAATATGTAATTATTCAGATTATACATTCATCTGCACTGGCAAACTAAATAAACTCAGGGAGTTTTGGTTGTTTTTCAGAGATTTTGTTTTTTTGTTTCTTAAGATAACATTATTCAGCATGGTTTCTCTTTTGGCCAATTTAATAGGATAACTAAATTAAAGGTAAGTTAGGAGATACAAGGAATAGAAGAATAGTGAATTTAAAAAGAGAGGGTGGTGCAAGGAGGGAGGGAGGGAGGGAGGAAGCAAATCAGGCAGCGAAGGAAGAGAGGAGGGGAAGTGGCAGTTGGTTCTTGGGTAAGTTAACTGATTTTTAAAAAGATGTTAGTTTCAAAGAAAATGAATTGGCAGCTTCTTTGCTGGGCTTCCACTTCATTAAGTTACTCAAATTAGAATAAGTGAAAATATAAGTCAAGAAATACTGTTATTTTCCTCTTGACAGAAATGAGGGCTAGAATAATAAAATAAATCTATCTTGCCATAAAGAATAATTGCAATTCTTATAAGCCAGCTCCACAGTAGTCAATAATAAGACACTCAAAAATGGTTAGAAGGACAGTTTTCAGATGTTGCATGTGGAATGCTGCCTTACTTTTAAAAACATGTCCTCCGACAGTAGGATTGCACAAGGGTGCATTTTGGGGGCCTGTAATATGGCTCAATGGCAAAAGGCCTTGCTGTGCAAGCCCCACGACCTGAGTTCCATCCCCAGAACCCACGTAAAGGTGGACGGCAAGAATCTACTCTACAAAGTTGTCCTCTGACCTCCACACAAGTGCACTGTTGCATGCATGCCACACACCTCATACACAGTAATAGCAAATGATATTTTTAAAAGAGTTCATGTTCTGACTTACAGACGTTGTTCATAAGTGTTCACAGGGTGTTCTTTTTTGTTTTTGTTTTATCTCCTGTAGAAAGCAAGGCTGGCCAGGATCCGAGCAGCCAAAAGCGGAAGTGCAAATGCTTACATGCAGAGCAAGCGGAATGGTTTGCTCAGCAACCAGCTGCAGGTACAGCAAGTCCTTCACTTTTCTATAAACATCGCTTCACCCCTGTGATGGAGATTTGTTCTGCTTAACTGTATGATCTCACTATGGATGTTTAGGAGAATGGCTACTGGAATGACAAACGTTGTTTTCCTAACTTCCGGCTATACATTCTAGTTGACTATAACAGGGTAGAGACTGTGCTACTAGGTATTGTCATTGAATCACGATTATTATTTCTGAGAAGTACTTCCAGTTCAGCACTGTCCACTGTGACACCAGCAAAGTGAAAAACCTGTCACTCAAATGCTTAATTCCCTTAATATCAAAATATTCATGTTCCTGGGGCTGGAGAGATGGCTCAGTGGTTAAGAACACTAGTTGTTCTTGCAGAAGACCCGGGTTTGAATCCCAGCACCCACATGGCAGATAACAACTGTCCATAACTCCAGTCCCAGGGGATCCAAAAGCCTCTTCTGACCTCCATGAGCATTACACGACACAAGTGCACTTAACCTATGTGCAGGCAATACACGCATACACATAAAATAAAAATAATAAAACTTTTTTTTTAAGTTAAAAAAAATACTCATGTTCCTTAAAGTCCAATTTGACAAGGATCTAGGTGAGGACAAGGATATCTTTATTTCTGAACTCTCCAGAGAACAGCATTCATTCACTATTAAGAAAATCACAAGGTCAAAGTAGAACTTGAACTTCTCTTACAAGCAAAATCTGTAGGATGTAGGATTCCAACTGTCTTTCCTTAAAGTAGCTTTTATGTCAGTGGAAGCAAGGATGGTTTCAGGATGAGCTAAGTACAAGGTTAACTCCAAAGATAATGGCTCTCAGGCTTGCAAAGGTGTCTAGTCTTGAATGAGTAAAAGAGACTTAAATTTTCCATTCAGGCAGATGTAGTCTAAAACACCAAACAGTTAATTTGATAGAGATGTACATGCTGATCACCCCCCCATAAAAAGTAATTATAGATTTGTCTCTCTTTAGTTAAGAAGAGTAAAATGTCACCAATTAACCTCAGAAAATAGACCAGACTTCTCTGTGCACATGCATAGTCCACAGTTTGCGAATTAAATAGTGTTGTTCTTTTCTGTGTTAACAGTCCTCAGAGGATGAGCAGGCATTCATTAGCAAATCCGGCTCCAGCTTCGAGACCCAGCACCACCACCTGCTTCACTGCCTGGAGAAAACCACGGTAAGCACATCGCCCTACTGCAGCCCCAGTGCTCAACAGTGATTCTATTCACTTCTGTGCATGTTTCCAAGCAGGATCTGAGTCCCTGCGTCCCTGGAAACTATATGCTAAGGCACACTAAAAGAAAAATCTACATTAAAAATCTACACTATTTGAAATGACTTGTAACAATTCAACTTGGAAATTGTTATAAATATTAAACTTGCTTGATCCTTAGTGGTTATAGTAACTACAATCCTTCAAATAAACAAAGAGGATGAAGAGAGAATGCTCTTCCAGTGTCTAATCAATCAGAACTTCTTCATTTGTAAAATTCTGATTACAAAGGAAAAAAAAATGATATCTCAAAGGTTCCTGAAACCTAAAGTACCAAAGCAGTAGCAGAACAAAAGGATAGAGAGAGAGAGAGAGAGAGAGAGAGAGAGAGAGAGAGAGAAATAAGCACCTTTTACTCACAAGTGTAATGGATAGATATAGATGGTTTAAAATAATGCACTTTTAGCCGGGTGTGGTGGCGCACACCTTTAATCCCAGCACTTGGGAGGCAGAGGCAAGTGAATCTTTGTCCAGCCTGGTCTACACAGTGAGTTCCAGGACAGCTGGGGCTACAAGGAGACCCTGTCGCAAAAAGACAAAAAAAAGAAAAAAAAGGCATTTTTGTACAAAAAGATGGTGCACTTAATCACAGTGTCCCTGGATGGGGAGGAGTGAGTGGGTCTTCATTGCACACTATCTGTGGGCATTCTTCCACAGCATAGTCATCCATTCCTAGCTACTTGTCCATGGAGATCACAGTTTGCCACCACACAGATGAACAGAACATTCACTGAATGTCAATCAGGTCAACTTACCAGAGGCACATCACAAGCATTTGAGATTCCCATGATTAGAAGTTTCTAATCAACTTCTTTACCAACAAATGAAAATTGCTTGCCTACTATGTATCCAGTAGTGAGCAGGTCCAAGGTACCAGGAAGTCAGTATGGCCTCCACCTCCATTAAGCCTCCCTTGTTAGGGCAAACCAGGAATGAAGGATATTACCAGAGAAGTGTGGTGAGCAGTAGAAACCAGGAAGGGGCTTAGAGTGGGCAAAGCCATGAGCAGACAGGCTAGGGAAGCCTTCCTGGGAAAGGTGACATCTCCAGGAGGGACTAAAGGGATGTGAGTGCAGGAAGAAGGCCGACACAGGACCTGGGAGGAAGCAGAAGAATCTGAAGGTCACCAGAAGGTAGAGATGGTATAAGTGGAGGCCAAGAGAAAGACAGCGGCCAAGTTCACACTGTGTGTATGTGATGATTCTAAGATAGATTGTATTTAAATTTTAAATAAAGACAAGTATAGATTTCTAACTTAATAGAATAATGCTTAGAGATGTAAATTATAAATTACTGGTAGAACTATTTGTTCCTGTCTTATTCTTTCTTTCTCATTATTTTACCACTTATTAATCAAAAATATCTTTAATCCAAGCATAGTGACATATACACCTCTAGTCCCAGCACTCAAGAGACAAAGGCAGGCAGAATTCTATGATATCAAGGCCAGCCTGATGTACATAGCAAGTTCCAGGCCAGCTGGGGCTACAGCAAGACCCTGTCTTTTAAAAGCTAAGCAAAAAAAAAAAAAAAAAAAAATGTCTTTAGCAACAAGAAATCTAGTTTAGTTTGAGCTACAAAAAAAAATATTAAATGACTAGAAGAAAAAGGGTATCTTGATTCAACCGTTGATACAAAAGGAAAAAAAAAAAAAAAAAAAAAAAAAAAAAAAAAAATGTCTTTAGCAACAAGAAATCTAGTTTAGTTTGAGCTACACACAAAAATATTCAATGACTAGAAGCAGAATGGTATCTTTTATTCCAGTCACCAATGAGATGTCAGATCTTCTGTGTGATTACTTGTGTCATGTGTGACGCATGCATTGTAAGAGGGAAACACAGGTTAGGCACCTTAGTGCACTATTTTCTTCTCTAAAGATTAATATTTAACATGAAATTCTGTCACGCAATCATATTGTTCTCTGGACTCTACACAGTGTGATGTTAAATTCTGTGATCTCCAAAATGCTTCTCTCAGCAAATGATAAAATGAGCAACTAAGACAATGTATTTCCCATTAGCTCATAAACTGCTTCAATTGTTTTACTAATATTTTAGGAAGAGCGATGGTTAAGTGAAATTCAGAATGTGCAAAGTCTTCCATTGTAAGGCTATTTCCCCGCACACAAAGATAAAATCGTAATTGAAGTCATTCTTCAGTAATTCAGACAAAAAGATGTTTGCCCTTACATTTCTGAGGCAAAATTTTATGTAGGCATTTCAGGAAGCAACTCTTTACTAGATATTTGTAAGTTAAAATTTATACAGTGATCTCTAAAATATGGTGTTGTGAAATAATGACCTTTACTGTTTGCCTCTGAGTTGGGATTTAGGAAGATAAAGATGAATATAGACAGAAATCATAGGTACAGCCAGTGATGCACCATATAGTTAGGAGGTCACAAATCTTGTAATTAATCCCTTGTGGGTCAAACATAATGACATAGTTTTATAGATATATACATGCATATATATTACATACTTTACTAAAAAGTCCTATTTTTCTATATACTGGGAATCTAGATCACATCTAAAGAAATGGAAGTGTCTAAAGTATTTGATTGTTAGTTTAAAATGTTTTATCCCCTGTGACATACTTGCTGACATATAACAGACAATCTAACTCAGGACATTTTATTACAATAAAACTTTCATAAATCTAGTCTGCTTAAAAGACTGAAGACACTGTGAATTTAAAAATTCCCTCTGGATATCAGTTATATTCATTTAAAGAGTTTTTCTTTAGTTTATAATTTCCTGATCTTATGCTTAAATTGTAATAATAAACAATCAACTTGCACATGACAATCTCTAGGTATAACGAGAAAGATTTGATTTCCCCATAAATGGCCCCCAGAAAGATTTTCGGTGTTTTAGTCTTTATGAAAATCACTTTATTTCATTTGCCCTTTAAATCAAGTCAAACTGAGCATGAAAATGTTTGAGTTCTTAAAAGCAATTACATTTATTCTTTTTTTAAAAAAAAAAATGACCATTTCCCTGCCTTCTGATTTTCTTACAACTCTGATGTAGAACCATGAATTTGTGGATGAACAAGTCTTTGAAGAGAGCTGCATGGAAGTTGCCACTGTCAATCGTCCTTCAAGTCACAGTCCCTCTATCTCTTCACAACAAGGAGTCACCAGCACTTGCTGCTCAAGACGACACAAAAAAACTTTCCGCATTCCAAACACCAATGTGTCAGGAAGTCACCGAGGCAGCGTGCAAGAGCTCAGTACAATTCAGATCAGATGTGTGGAGAGAACACCACTATCCAACAGGTAGCTGGGATTGATCTGTGCTGTGTACACACCTGTCCTGGTTCACAGACTATCTCCCCTGTAGTCATGGTGTTACTGACATGGCCACTAAATCATAACTCCTAGGGAAGGAAAAGAACCAAACAGACAGAAGAGAAAAGCATGCTCATTAAGAATCAAATGTTGCATTTAGGAGGCTGAAGAGATGGCTCAGGGGATAAATGCTTCCCATGGAACCCTAAGGACCTGAACTCAAATCCCAAGAACCCACATAAAAGCTGGGCAGACATGGCAGTCACGCATAATCCCAACACTCAGGAGACAGAAGCAGCAGATCACAAGGGTAAACTGAGTAGCTAGACCAGCTGGAATTGGTAATCTTTGAGTTCAATGAGCAACGTTGCCTCAATAAATAAAATGGAGAGTGAGGAAGACAGCTAACATCAGCTTCAGACCTCCATTCACACATACACATGTATCCACACACATGCAAAAGTTCATACACACATACACACCACACATACACACATAAAAAAGATCACATTATATCAGTATTGAAAGCAGAAGAAAATCTGGTCTGATACACACAAATATGTTTTTATTTCTTCAGTTTTGCAATTTTGTATTTGATCAAGGACCTGTATGCTCAGGAGCCCCTATGTAAACTCAGATATCCTGAGTTGCTAGTCCACACCCCTACCAGAGACAAATGAAAACTGTATCATATAATATATGATAGAATGTGGGACATTATATCATATATCACCTAAGACTTAACACATTCAATGTAGAGGTAAAAATTAAAATTTCTACACCAATCTATTATTTTGCTCATAAAAATATGTTTTTCCAATTAAACACATACAAAAAGACAAGTGAAATACTAAAATTGTTTACCTATGATTCATGTGCAACTTTTATATTAGTAATCACAAGCATGTGTGATAAACGTGCTACATTAAAACCGTGCAAGGCACTAAAAAGATGAATTTCTGCCAACTCTTTTACTTTGCTCTTTTAATTTGAATATCATGGATTCTCAGATCAGCACTCTCTAAACTGTTCACTTGTCTCTTGGCTCTCAGTGATCTGTACTGAAAGTATGGGTGGGATTTTGAATTCAAATCATGTTAGCTTATAAAGATTGGGTGTCTAAAACTAGAGTGTTAAGTTTTAGAGCAATAATAAATATCTGTCCTTAAGATATTTTACCTCTACACTCTGTACATTCATGATAAAATCTAGAAGAGAATGGAAAGCTATTTAGAAAAAAATCTTAAGATGTGAACACTTTGTTTCACAAATTAAAATAAATTAAGCATAACATCTGTGGTGAGAATGTCACTCATGGACGCTCCAAGGCTTTAGCTTGTTAGACCTAACTTTTTAAGGTTCTTAACACATAACCATTGTTAAGCTTTTGAGACACTGTGTATTTCAAAATGACACCATAACTAAGATTCTATGGTCAGAAGTATTACAAAATCCATGGTATGCTTTTGTCATGATGGAACCTCCAGCCTCTCACAAATCCTGTCACAGAAAACTATCTTGGTTAGCTTGTCTTGTGCTGTCCAGATGTTCACTGAGCTTTTCTTTCCTGCATTTGTATAGAATATGCCTAGGGAAACAATTGATTTAAGTAAGTTGAGCAAGTTTTTAAGAATGCATTTCATGTTAATGAACTGAGTAACGTTCAAGATAACATATTAAGTTTGAGTGCTTCATTTTTTGAACATGCTATTTCTTCTTCAGTGTTTAAAAATATTACTTACTAGCAGTAAAATTCATTTTCTCCACTTATATGAAGAACAACTTTAAATAACTTACTTGTTTTTGCCCCCATCAGCCGATCCAGCTTAAACGCCAAAATGGAAGAGTGTGTTAAACTAAACTGTGAACAACCTTACGTGACTACAGCAATAATAAGCATCCCAACACCTCCAGTGACCACACCAGAAGGTGATGACAGGCCAGAGTCTCCTGAGTATTCAGGAGGAAATATTGTCAGGGTATCTGCATTATAAGACAACTGGTACAGGTTTAAGAGAATTTGAGCCCTGGCTATGGAAAGAATCTGCATTATAAGACAACTGGTACAGGTTTAAGAGAATTTGAGCCCTGGCTATGGAAAGAATCTCGAAGTAGAAGAAAGAAGAAACAATAAACCTTTTTTTCAGATTAAGATGGCAAAGCAAGAAGGTTGGTAGCAAAGCAAAAGTAAAGCTTTCAAACTTAAGGGTGCGAATGAAGCCACCAAATGGCATTTCTAGACAGAGTCTGACCTGTCCCATAGAGGAAGACTCTGTGGCCCTTTGACTTTGCGAATGAGCACACTGAAAGGCCACCTATCAATGCTTCTTATGATCAGAACTCTTTTTTAATAAAACAAATAAAATGAATCTTTGAACATAATGTTCCAGTTGAATGCAAAACAAAAAAATATGGAAAACATTTTGATAAAAATTTTTCCTGTTAAAACCATGAACATTGGCTCTGGTAAAGATTATTATAGATGAAAAAACTCATACAGTCCATTTGTATTGACTGAAGGAAACCATCCTAATGCATGCTAAAATTCTTTGGAGCAGTGATCTCAGTTTCCTTATGTTGTCTTCAGAATAGGCATGATAAACTATAATTGTAGAAAGGGGAAATTTCTGTGCACTTACAATGAGCTGATTGTTGATGTTCCATGGTGGGCTGTGCAAATAAGCTCCTTTTAGTACCACAGTGTTTCTCATGGGGATAGTCACTAGTAAATCTGAAGCGTTCAGATATTTCAGTATGAATTCTTATTTAACCTTGCACCTAGTCTTTGCTACAACTGCAATAATTCCTTCTATCTCTGTTGTATAAGGAATCGGAACATTTTTGTTTGAACTTTCCATATCTTCATGGATACAGTAAGAGCTGCATTCATAGAAAAACTTGTGTTGTGGCCAGGTTTTAGTGACTTTTTAATCCAAAACTACTGTGTTATAAATGTTTTTCAGTAGTATTCTTTGGTTCACTGTATTCCTGTGACCTGGTACGTTATCTGTTCCCAGATTTCTATAGCATCTTTCTATCGGTTTATTATTATAAACAGGATTAGCGTTCAGCATAGTACAAATGAATTTCCTACTTTTGTATTCCTCAAAAAGTTACTGTAAGTAGATTGTCATTAATACCCTTGTCAAAAACTAGAGTAAAGGAGTTGAAACCTGTGAATTTTCTCTGACGTCTTTGCTATTTGTGGAAAAGCCCAGACACTGGAAGCATCAGTATGTGTTTCATGAAAAGAGTCAACTGGGACTAAAAATCACAGGAACAATGATCTCAGACTCTTTCTTGATGTTTTGTTTTGCTTTAGATCTTGAATACATTTTGAGAATAATAAAATGCAGAGATATATTGGAGTGCTTTCTGTAGCAATATTTGATGAAAGCATGCTTTCGATGCCATTCAAGAAAGCAACAAACACCAATCTATCTCAAAAGACGCCTGTGTACCACAAGGCTTGATGTTCTCCACTAAATCCGGAGAACAGAAGTTTGATGATGCAAAGCTGACCTCTATGTACATTTAAGTGAAAAGTCTTGATACCTTTTCACCCTTAAAATATATCAGCAGACTTGTCTGCACGTGATGGTGTAAAAAAGTTTTATGTCAAATGAAAAGTTTTGTTCATTCCAAGCCACCACTGTAAGGACTAAAGCTTAGTTTCTATACATGGAAAGAATTAATAATTATCCCTCTATCATGGAGACTTTAAAATGCTTGTCACAGTTTATCATAAAAAGGGATTAATCCAGCCATTTTCAGGTAAAGCCAGAAATTGTTGCTTCCTGTTTATATAATACCTTCTAGAACAGTGCTATGCACACAGTAGATCTTCATAAATAGCTGAGTAACAGAAAGATGAACTCAGCTATCACTTGGGAAGCACTGGCTTTATTCCTAGTGTGTCTTTTAAAAATTTACTAATCTTCCTGCAACGTGAATATTACCAGTTCTATTAACACCTGCCTCTTGTCACTTTATGCTTCTAGAGAAAATATGTAGTGAAACTTCTTTGATGGCACTTATTGAAAACCTCTTAAAAATAGACTAAGGAAACTCCAATCAGGAATACTTAACATCTTTTGATTCCCAATTAGAAGTTCTGTTTTCATGTTCTTAATAATACATAAAATAAAGTGCAGTTAGATTACTTTGGTTGATAATTCTTCCTCTTTTGATTTGTCATTTATCCCAAATTATTAATTTCATTAGATTTATGGAAAAGAAATAAAAAACCTTTTGGTGTTTTAGGAGATTTAAAAATATACTGTGTTGGTGGTGAATGACTCTTGATGACTGTGTTAAGTGCATCTGTATTGTAAGTGAAATGTAATTATTTCTGTGTATCATATGGAGTAACTAAGGTCATTGTTTTTTGGCAATTTTGTTTGGAATTCATATATCTTATTTCAAAGGATAGCATAATACCTGCATTATGCTGGAAACAAATAGATCTTTGGAGAATACTTAAATAAAACATGTGCATGCTTGAACAGGACAACATGGTTGACTGTGGCCCTTTTTATTGATTTCATTTCTTTCCAAAAGATGTGTCACATTCATAATAAACCTGAATAAGTCTGTGCCTCATGCAGACTAAAAGAACTCCACACTTAGACTGTCCAAACTGGTAGAGATAATAACTTTTGTCCAACAGTGGGACATTAGGAAGAGACTGTCACAGGAAAAAAAAAAAAAGATATCATTTAAGAAAGCCCAATCCTTGAACTCACATACAGCTTCACCATCATTACTTGTATCAAGTAAAAAGAAGCTCTGAGGTAGGAAAATTAGTAAGAAAGTTAAATTCTTGGTCAAGTAGGGGTCTTTGTAGGAAAATGGGGGGTGATTCATATGCCTGTAGATATATGTGTGTACATAGATGATAGGAAGGTAGATAGACAGATGATTGATAGATAGATAGATAGATGATAGATGATGATGATGGTGATGATAGATGATAGCTAGATAGGAGATAGATGATAGATAGATATAGATAGATGATAGATAGATAATAGATATAGATGATAGATAGAAATAGATAGATGGTAGATGATAGATAGATAGATAATAGGATATAGATAAATAGATGAAAGATAGATGATAGATAGATAGATAGATAAGATAGATAGATAGATAGATAGATAGATAGATAGATAGATGATAGAAACAATCAGAATTTTACACCATTTTAAAAAGTATATACATACTGATAGTCTCTTCAATATCTTGGAGGGGACAAAAAGGATAAACAGTAAGTTCTTAATAAAAGAAAGAAAATAAGCAACCCATTCAATACAGAGACTGATTTTAACTCATGCTATATGTAATTCTTTTGTTATATAGTCTCCATACTTTTTGCTAATTATTTTCCATGACAGGCTGTGATTTATTGAGGTATCAATTCTACATTAAAAAGACTCATTATACCTCCCTTGTTCCTTCACCTTAATCACAACAATAGCTTAGAAATAGCCTCTGGGGAGTTATATTGATGTCTGCCAGCAACATTGCTTAAAAAAAATTTTTAAGTAGTTCTTGGTATCAAATACATGAGACCTCTGAGTCCCATAATACAGAAATCCCCCTCTACCCTAAATAGTTATTGAAGTGTTTGTTTTATTAACTCGCAGGTACAAGGATGGTTATTGCACTGTGTAAACCTCCAGAGAATTTTCAACACAGCTGCGTTCTATCTCAGTTTGTTGCATTTAGGAAAGTAAAATTTTTTTCTGTGGAGTTATTGTTTTTAATTACAAGGAATTATTACTTTAACAATAATTTTGCTTATGATGGTTATACTTATTACAAAGGTTACTAATTGAAGACAGCATTTGATCCATGCTTTCGAATCCTTTGATTTTTACTGTATGCTTTGAATTCTCCCTCTTTCTCTTCAAACACTAGTTATTTTTGGTTGCCTCTTCCTTTCTCTAATCAGTTCTTCTTGATTTTCTATGGAAATTCATTAGGTAACTACTGCTCGTTCTATCCTTACCCCAGTTTACTGAATGCATTCATAAACTGGACAGTGTGTTAGATACTAGAGAAACAGTGATTAACAAACTATTACAGATCTCCTGACGCGATGGATCAAAGCATTCAGATTCTCCTTGCTACTCACAAGCTTACAGTGCTAGTTTCCTTTCTGCCATGTTCCCACATTTTTTGCTTCAGTCTCCTGAAGACAGTTTCTCAATAAGCACTGTATGAAAGCAATGTTCTTCAAAGTACTTTCTCAAATCTTCCCATTATGCTTGAAATCCTCTCTGTGTAGACCATGGTTCTCTTTCGACCACTGGGGAGAAAAAGCCCTCAGAGAAAACCCAGGAAACATGGAAAGATGAAACATACCAAAAATGGAGGCAGAGTTTCATGTCTCTAATTTAATCACTGGGGGAAAAAGAAATGCTTTCTCCAAGTATCTACCCTATGCTGCACATTATAGTTTCAGGGAATGTGAAGGAAGCTGTTACAGATTTTATCCAGGAGTAACAATGCTTCTATGAGTTTTTGTACCACAGCTCAAACTAGTTCATCTAATTAATCCTATGGAAGTATCTGAGATGGCAGGATATTGAAAGTGCTTACCCAGAAGCTCAACACAAAGATGAACCTAGGTCATCTGTGGCAACTCTGATACATGGACTGCCTGAAAGACAGTATGGCATGAATGGGACCGAAGAGTCAGAAAAGATTTGGAGGAACCCTGGAAGACAAGGAGGGATGTTGCTAAGTCTAAAGGATGGTAGACAAATGTTCTTTAGTTTGATTTTAATTGATGATCTAGCTTTTTAACATTAGGTTCCAACTCACTTAATTGCTTTGTTAGAGTTACAAATTCTAACACCACACAGGTTTCTTAAGCCATTTTCGGTTTTTAATAATTATTCTCAGAGAGAATGCTCAATGTCACTCAAACTATATGAACAACAGAAAGGAAGACCCTAGACAGCAGAATAACAAACTAGTAAAAAGAATTTTAGAAAGGAGATATAAGAGTCAAAGTTGAAAGAACTTTGAATTGGGTCAATGAATCAGTCAATTTTCCCAATCAGAGAACCTTCTTAGAAAGACGGAAGATTTTTATCAGAATATAGAAAAACTTTCAAAGTTAAAACATATGTATACATGACAATTTTACATAAGACTCGAGCTGAATCTATAATATTTTTTTATCCTCAGCCAACCTGGTAAGAAATCAATGCACAAATCATAAAACTCAAACCCTAACACAGTATTTTCAACATACAATTTTTAAATAGATTTACAGTGAGCAATAAATAGTGATTATAATAAGCATGAAAGTGTAAAAACAGTGCACCAAACCATTAGATCATTAGGTAACTGCATTAGTACTTTTTTTGTATATAAAACTTTAAAAGTGAAAAATAATGAGTCCAAGTTGGGTGTGGTGATGCATGCCTTTAATCCCAGCACTCTGGAGGCAGAGGCAGGCAGATCTCCGTGAGTTCAAGGTCAGTCTGGTCTACATCATGAGTTGCAGGTCAGGTGGGGCTACAGAGAAGATACTCCTATTGTAGAGAAACGGTGAAATGGTGGTGCTGTTGTTTCAATGGGCACAAAGGCTAAGCTCTGCTGCTTGCAATGTTGTTACAACAATCAACTTAATCTTTTTCTCAATCGAAAAATGCTCCTTACCGTGAATAACTGTGCTGTTAAGACATGCTTCCAGTTTGGCTATTGGTGAACTAAAATAAAATGGAAACTAACTAGGCAAATATATTGCTATCTTATTGGCAAAGATTTTTCCAACAATTCAACATTAGTACATATTGACATAAGTTAGCAGGAAGAGAAAGAATTGTGTATTAGCACATCTGCCATCTCTCACCTGTTCTCCTTTTTGAGCAAATCCTGCCAAACTTTCGGTGTTGTGGATCAGGTCTGTAGTTCTAGCCTGTAGTATCTAATTGGCCCACAGTCCAAGTCCTGAGGGCTAGTAATAACGACATAGAAATATTTTTGAATTGTGTCAATAACCTCTATTCCTTTATTCATTATCTTTTGTAACTTCTTAAATTCTTGCAGACAAATCAGCAGGAATGGCAGCAGAGCACCTATATTTAATACCACATGAAAATAAGGTCCTGGGAGACTCAGATTGCCAAAATAACTGCATAATTTAACAATCCCAAATAAATATGATACAGTTAAAATATTCCTAGATTTTGCCATCAGCACAAACAATTCCATTTTTTCTATAAGTCATTGATATTTTTATTTGTCCCTAATAAAACAGAAAACTTCAATACAGTGTAAACACAGGCATTTGATTTATACAGAACTGTAGAAAATTTAATGTACCTTTTAAAATGGTACTTGGGAGGTAACTACTTGCCATAAAACTTCTTCTGTGGGTTTCATCGTTTGCTTGTTTTATGCTTGAAAATAACACGATCTATTAATAATTTATCTTTACTGTCTACTTTAGTCTTTCCATTTCTATCACTCAAATCATAAATTTACTATTCATTGTGTTACTATTATGCCTAAAACTTGTTTTGTTGAGGTGTAATCATCATTCTAAAGCCATGCATGTAAGAATGCATGTGTTATATACACCTTGACTTTGTCAAATTATGATAATAAATTATACAAATTTTAATGAGGTAAGTTAAAGCTTTAAAAATTCTTTTTAAATTACTGTAAAGAATAAACTTTCTCCAAATTGCCCTCAGAAAGAAACCACTTCTGTTTTTTTTCTAAACCAGAACTATGCACTAAGTAAGCCCTTACATAAAAATTACACCACATTTCAAAAAGAAGTATGTATGTATATAACAGAAAGATGAACTGTCAAAAAAGAAATACATCTATTCATCCACCTGTGCAAGAGCCAAGGAATATGGCTATGAGTGTCTGGAAGAACAAGAAACCACAGAGCATTTGGGGGTGCCAAGATTTAAAGCCTAGAAAGATTTGATATTAGGTCAGTTTCTCTAACATAACTAGAATTCAATACATAAGCAAAGAGTCTGAGAATTTAGTAAAATTTTAACGCAATTATTCACTATTAGATATAGACTTAAGAATACTGTACTCTCAAATTAATTCAATACATTTTCACCATTACCTATTGTATTAGTTACGTTTATGCTGCAACTTATGGGAGAAAGTTTATTTTGGCTTATGCTTCCAAAAGGGAGGCTCCATAATGATGGGGGAGGCATGGAAGCTGACAGGAAGTTGAGAGTTTACTTCTTCAATAGCAGACACAAACAGAGAGAGAAAACTGGAAGTGGAGTGAGGCTTTGAATGCTCAGAGCCGGCCCCTAGTGACATGCCTCCTCCAGTAAGGCCATACCTCCTAAAGGTGCCATCAACCTCCTTAAACAGTGCCACCAACTAGAGACCAAGTGCTCAAATGCATGAGCCTATTAGGGACATTTCTCATTCAAACCATCATACCTACATACTCTAATTATAGTATTACAGCTAAATTTATAGCGAATGCTGAGGTGATCGCAATAAA